ACAGACCAGCTCCTCTGAGCAGCAGCCTAACCTGTGCCAGGTGCCCAGGTTCTGGGCTCCACTCCCACTCTCATCATTAGCTCACTGGGATGCAGACTTTGCCACCTTCTTTCCTGGTGCCTACTGCGACCAGCACAGAATGGACAAACGGATGTCTGTTACATATCTGATACAGATGATATCAGTCCCAGACAAAGAGACTGAGAAACCTCGGAAGGAAACAGCCTAGGGAGAAAAATCCCAGACAGCAAATGGCTCTCTGGCTCAGGACACATTCTCAGAAATGATGCTAATCTTCCGGTCCATAGCGTAGTTTACAGAGTGTTTTTCTATCTACTGCCTCCTCTGCTTGTCACTACAGTACTAGGAGCAGGTATCATGGCTACTGTTTTGTGGGCAAGATGAGAGATCTTGCAGTTAAGTGAACTGGCACAAGTCACGTGAGGAGCCGAGAGGACAACCCCAGGAATCCTGCACTGCTCCTCTGCCATCATGAACCCAAGAGGTGAGGACAATGACTGCCTCTTAGTAAAACAAGATGGAAAACAGCACACTCACCAGTGATGCTTGGTAAATCAGATTAACCCCCTGCATCAGAGGTTATGAACCACAGCCAATAGGCCAAATCCAGAATTGGATTTGGTTGGCTTTAACATTTTCTAATCCGTTGTCAACATTTTAAATCTGGATTTTCAGCTCCTGAAATCAGGCAGTGCAGGGCATGGCAACTCGTGGTGAAGCTGAGGAGTGGCTGCCTCTGTGCTCATCAGTTCCCTGTGGGCCTCACCACTCTCTCCGCCTTTACCGCCTATGCTTTGCTTCTTCCCATTACTTGCCTGGCTACAGGGACCTTTGAATTTATTCTCTTTGGCTTAGATGGTCCCAAATTCATGTGCTAGTCTCATTCATCTTTCTTCTCCCCCAAGATTTCCTCTTTTTCCTTAATTCTGACATTCTGATTCCAGTTGGCTGAAGAGAGAAGTAAAGTTTGTCATTCACTTAATTCTCTGTGACAGCCAGATGATCCAGCCATCAGACTGAATCTGGGGCCAGATGCCAAAGAGTGACTGCAGGAGTTAGTGGTGATAACAACCTCTCTGCAGATCACTTGGCTACTGAAACAGAGAGTTACACCTGATCTGCTCTATTTTAAACTCATGGCAGCTGTATTCAGCACAAGGCTGCATCCCTGAAGACCTCACGTAAACCTGAGCTTGCATAATTCATGACCAACCCTGACCAAAGATGATGGACACTTTTTTGACAGCTAAAGCGGCCCAGCTATCTGGCAATAGCCTAGAGGGGACTTACAGCTCCCACAGCCCACCATAATGTAATGTTTTATCAGTGTGAGGATCAAATGGCCACAAACTTGAGTTTGAAACTCAGAAATATCATTTTCCTGCCTGTTCGATACTGAGCAAATTCCAAAAGTGCTCTGATCCTAGTTTCTTCACCTGACACATCTCATCTCTGCAAAGAACTCAGTAGAAGTTGGCATATTGGAGGTGCTCAAAAATGGCAGTTCTCTGATACTGCCTTTGGACTGAAAAAAAAAATCCAAGCCTGAGACTTTCCAAGTGATACAGGATCCTTGAATAGTCACGACTATGTGCATTACTTGGGGTGTGATGGAAGAAAATGAGGGCCCTCTGAACATCAGGACTCAGCAGATCTTTGGTGTTTCTCCAGACAAGCTTGCTTCTGAGTGAAGAACTCTACTATGCTTAATGACCCCAAAGATGGTCTCTTCTTAGGTTACAACTCTTGGAGTCCAGAAAAGCCTATTGTTGGAGACAACGAAATGAGGATCCCAGAAGGAATGTCCACTCTTAGAATGGACAACATAAGGCAGAAGCAGACAGGCAACATCCTGCTGACCTTCTAATCCCAGATTCTGCAAACCTTTTAAGTCCCTGATTCTTTATCTGAAAAATGGGGAAAACAATGTGTAGATCATTGTGTAATATGAGGATTAAATGAGTCTACATAATTCAAAAATTCTCTGTGAACTCAAAAGAAACATAAACATGAAGTATTACCTGTAATAATTATTACTCATTTTTCAGCCAGGACCCACCCAATGGTCCTCAGCCATTTCAGAGTTTGGGAAGTTTCATATACAGAGTAGGCACTTGATAAACAGTTATTGGTTGACTTAACAATCGATCCTAGGACTGGTCTTATCAAAGTCTTTACCTGTCACCTACTTAAACATGACCCAAACAGTAGGCTAGTGGGGGCCACAGGCACTGACAGGGGTCCCATCATACCATGAGGCCAGAGGAGGCAGGATGACCTGAATCCATCCAGAGAGGACTAGCTCAGGGTGTGCTGGGATGGGCTTAGACATGTCATGACCTATTGGTGACACCTGAGGCCACTCACCCCATCTCTTTAATGCAGTGTTTTTCAACCTTTTTAATCTCACAGGACACTTGAACCTATGGTTAAACTTTTACAGCACACTTAGTTATGTTGCTCAAAAAGAAAAAGAGAGAGAGAGTAAAAAAAATACACTTACTGTGCTTTGAGCTTCTTTCAAAAATAATTTAATGAATAATCTTTAAAAATGTTCATGGCACACCAGTTAAAAATTATTGTCTGACTGAACATGAGTCTTTAGAGTTTTTATGGTGCCTACTATTTAGTCTCTCTTCCCTAAAAATGCATAATTTCTGTTCATGTTTCTAAACTGTTCTCACAGAGGTTCTGATTTGAATGTTTATTTTGATAGCTCTCATTGTTTAAAAAAAATGCTATCTGTTGGTTGAAAATAATTTGCATTCATATGTGGATTCACTAAATCAGCATGATAGCACCACCTTCCTCAGAACCACACAGCCCCCAGATTAGAAACTATGGTCAACTTGATATTTGCTTTGTTTTGTAATAACCATGTGCTACTAAAAAGCAGTTACTTATTTCTTTGAGACTGTAAACTTTCTGACATCAAAACTCCAGAAGTACCAAAGAGGAATCATGGATTGGAAGGTGATCATGGAGGCTGGGGTCCAAAATCAGGGAAGATTAAGATCAAAAGGTCCATCAGAGGGGGGACAAAAGGCATGAGAAATGTGCTGGCAGAGGAGCAAATGGGTGAGGACAAAAATAGTGTTGGTAACGGGGGGCCCCTGGCAGGATCCCTGGCCCCTCAGCTCCACTGCAGCCTGGGGAGACGCAGATGGAAAGACAAGCAGATGGGCAGGTTAGGGAATAGCGGGGCGGGGGGAGGGAGGGGCAGAAATAAAAGCAAACCAATATAAGTGGCAGGTTTATTCTCACATGCTTAGAGAGAGGGAAAAAACAGCCAAGCCCAGAGTAACATGACAGCCTGGCAGAACTGTTCTTTCCAGAAGCTGGGACACTAAAACATTTCCGCCAGTTTTCTGCCTTCAACTCTCTGAGGGAAAGGCTCCTAACAAAGGCTGCCCATGTTACATGCTTTTAACATGATGCAGAAATTGCCCTTCCCTTTTCTTTGGGCAGGACAGAATGTCACAACCTTTGTCTCCATGACGCTGAAACTGGCCACCAGCTGGAGGCGTCTACGCTTCCACTCCTCTTCTCTCACTACACACGTACGCATGTAAACACGTGACCACGCACATACACACAAACTCACCACATGAACACACACACACACACAGCAACAGCGCAGCCATCTGGACAGGCAAGCTCTCCCGCAACACCTTTTTTTCTTCTCTGTTCTGACAGCTTAAATTCAAGGATCATCTGCCATCAGGGATGCTTGGTATTAAAAGAGGCAGAATGAGTCTGAGCACGGGGAGGTGAAGGGCAGCACGGGATGGAACAGGACAGAGGAGGACAGGAAGGGGAGAGCCAGAGGAAGATAGCGCAAGGAGAGACGCTTGCCTCCCACTGTTCTGCACAAAAGCTGTCCTTTTAGAATTGTTGGTTGAGACAAATCTGTAATTTCAAATAAGACCGTTGTCCACTGCCATGGTCCCCCTGCCTGCAGGTGTGACACTCACTTTCCCTCTGCAGCTTTGCACCAGCACTCCTGGGAAGAGTTGCCCATTTCTCTCTCATTCGCTCGGTATTTACTGCACATGCACAGCATCTCCCCTTGCAGCTTCGTCCTCTGCATCTATATCCTATGAAGTCTTTAGCTGGTAAGTTTCCGGGGAGGGACAGTAGTGGCCAAGCGTCATTGTGTTCCTCACAGCATCAGCCACAGCTTGGCACACTGTAGATGCTAACGAACCATCTCTTAAAATAAATGAGTAAACAAAGGCGTGAATGAGTACATGAATGGGCTGGTTAAATGGTTACAGAAAGACATGGATTGTTGCAAGAGTTGTGTGAAAGGAATAAAGAGGAGTAAAAGAGAAATAAAGAAGAGAAGAAAATGTGTTCTGAGCTGTGCACGCCACAGGGGTGAACTGGCTATCAGGAGTGATCTATTGCCACAGATCTGAGGTCTCTATAACAGCGAGCATGCCCCTGAGCAAACTGAAAAGGAGAGTGCACTCTGGAATTACAGGGTTTTAATTGAAAAATAATCTATGAAGGCAATATTGACTTGATCATGTGATTTCTGGAAACTTTCTTCCATTGGGTTTCCATTAAAACATCACTGGTATTTCTGTTCTCAGCGTCTATCAGTGCCTGCACTCATCTGCTCACCCATCCGTCTATCTACCCATCCATCCTTTGGTCCACCCACACACCTGTCTGCCCATCTATCTTTCTAAAAGTATTTGTTGAACTGGATACAGAGTCCTGAGTCCACTCTGGCTTGGATGTTATGTCTTTGCTTTTGTATGGAGCACATAAAAATAGCCCAGTCTGAAGCTCCTTAGAGGTGAAACACTAGACCTGCCTTCTCTTTGACCACAGACGTCCAACATCTGAAGGCTGTACCCTAGAGAGGGCAGCCTAGCAGTGTAGGTTTGGCCACCGCTGTGTCCCTGCACAGATTAAAAAGAGCCAGCCACACAGACAGACAGAAGGAGCACAGAAGCCTTTAGACTTACCAGCTTGATTTGTGGTGATGTTGACAGACACGTGCTGTGGGGGAAAGGGACTCTTGCTGGAGACTCCATTGATGGCCTGGATATCAAAGGTGTAGGGGGTGTGGGCCCACAGGCTGCTGATGGAGACCCGGCCCTCGGTCAGGCCCAGCTGCCTGGGCACGAACTCCACGTTGTCGTCACAGCGGGAGCAGCTCCGGCGGTCCGCCCGGCACTTTTTGCAGATGATGTTGTAGGTCACATCATCCCGGCCACCTGTCTCCCTTGGAGGGTGCCACTCCAGAATGATGGACGTCTCGTTGACAATGGAGATGACATTTCGGGGACCAGATGGAACACCTGTGGGTAGATAGGGGCCCGGTGAGGCTGGGCAGAAGCTTCCTCGTCCAGTGTTTTCTGCTTGGTCTCTGCTGTGCTCCCCTGTCCCTTGTCATGCGCACTCACCCTCTCCCCTTCCTCAGCCCCACATCTCCATGCTTCAATGTTTATGGGAAAAAGAAGCCTGTGGGCAAAGATGGCAAACGGTCCCAAGCTCCCCTTTCATTCATGTGTGACTGAATTCCACTGGGGATTTCCTTCTTTCAATCACATGTGCCGAGATGGGGGTTCAGGGACCTGAGTTCAAGTCTTTTATTCTCAGGACCAAGCCGCACTCCCTAGCTAGGTTTAGCGTTAGTAAAGTGTGTACAGACTGGATAGTTACAGGATTCCTTGTCTTTTCTTAACTGGTGTGGAGTTCAAGGGTAGAGGACTCTGTAACCCTAACCCTAACCTCACAGTTCCCATCCAAAAGCCCCCAGCAGATCCTGAAATCTTGTGGTGCACAAAATCTCATACAATTCAGGATCTGTGCGGTTTGTGCGTGGTAGCAGGCATGTTTCTCTGTAGGACAGGCTGCCAGAGCACCTGAAGAGATAAATATTTACATTGCACCAGATTTGGTGCATAGAGACCAGAAGCAGAGTTGGGTGGGAGAGAAATTCACACAGCCACCATTTTTTACCCCATGACATAAGAAAAAAACACAGGAGCATGTTCCAGACATTCTGCTAGCTGCTTTGCATGCATTACCTCATTTGTCCCCCTCTAAGAGTCCTACTGAGAAGATATAATAATTATCTGATTTTTATAGAAAAAGAAACTATAGCTGAGAGAGAAGGCTGGCTGCAGGTCACATAGGTCTATAAGAAATGCAGTCAGTATGGAAACCCGTGCCTGCCTGATTCCAAAGCTCATGCTCTTCTTAATTAACTACAACCCTGATGTGAACAGATTCTCTCTCCTACAAAGTAGCCAGGCTCAGGCAGTGCCTGTGGCCCAGAAGTAGGGTGCTGGCCCCGTATACTGGAGGTAGTGGGTTCAAACTCAGCCCCAGCCAAAAACTGCAAAAAAAAAAGTGGCCAGGCTCATGGGGACTCGCAGAGAACAACCTCTTCCTTCTGGACAGCTCTGTTTATGGCTGCTATTCGCAATTTGGCTAAAGTGGAAATGCCTTGTTACAAAACTCTGGAAAGCCTGGTTCTTCACAGGAGAAGAAAATGTGGCTGAATTAACATTAATGCCACAGTGCTGGGCATTTTGAGATTAAGTTGGAGAACCTGCTCTTCAAGAAGAGAACAGATTATAGCCTCAGGCCCCCAAGCCTTGCATATCCTCAATGTCTAACAGATAGAAATGAATCCTGCCTGGAAACCCCCGCTTCTGAACGACAGGTCTGCGGGAGCAGCCGCTCCAGATAGTAATGCATTCAGAATTTGTGCACGTGACCGTCACCAGCTGAACGAAGACATGTGTAAAGTGGTTCATGCTGGAGACAGGAATCAAATGCCAACACGCAAAATGAGGGAATAACAACAAGGTCGGGGGGCACGAGGGAAGGAGTCTGTGTTGAATCAGTCAGCAGCAAGCAGCAAGAGCAGAAAGAAAATATTAAATCGGGTTCTATTAAAACGTGAAAGAAAATCAGTACCACACTATATAAAGCCTGTTAGGCCTGAGCTGAAGCACAGCGTTTGTGCACGCTTGTGACAGTGCAGAATTCCTGAAGTATTTTTACTGAAGTCTTGTGAATAGTGCTTAAGAATTCCCCACCCGTCTGCCCAGGGATAAATATCCATCTCTCTTCAAATCCACACACAGCTAGTACCAGGAAGGCAGTCTGCACTGTCCCAGGTGGGCTCTTATGCTCTCACCCCAATTCATTAACATCCATACTGGTCAATGCCTGTCTCCAACATATATGTCTGTTTGCTTCCAACTGATGAGACTCAGCTCACAGGCTCCCAGTGGTCAATGCCACCTCTGTTTGTCTCACCTTCACAGCAGCCTCGTCTCACCCACAGAACATTGTTTCTCATCTCAAAATAAATATTTAGCACATTGACCAAGCATTTGCTTTATGCTGGGCATGGGGTAAATCTTTCTAAAACATTGTCTTGCATCCTTGGGACATGCTGAGGCCATCACTCAGAAAGCAGCCCCGAACGGAGGGGCAGAGGCAGGTACTGACCGAGGGAGGAACCCTCCATCTCCTGTACTGTTGGGGACTTCCCCATGTCAATTATCCCCTCCTTCCCGTGAACTTTAATGTCATCTTCCCCTGACTGCAACTTTTCAACTGGAGCTCACCATTTTCAAACCAAAACACCATCACCCAGCACCTGTCTATCTTGCAGACTCTTTCTTCTTTCCTCCCCAGTCAAGCTTTTCCAAAAAGGAGTCTACACTTGTTGTCTCGCCCCCTCCCTGTCAGCTCATTGCAGTCTGGTTGCTTCCCGACCCACCCCTCTTCTACAAATACTTTTCCTTTGCTGCCTTGCTCGGCAAATCCAGGGAACACAATTTAGTCCTAACCTCCCTTGACATGCTATGTATTCACCAACCAGGTCCTGGGGGTCACATTGTCCTGTCCCCCAGCACAAGGACCATCACCACAATTTGCCAGCTCTCCTTTTCCTCAGACCTTTCCCTTCCTCTATATCCCTATGGCCTCAAAACTCTGGGCTTCGTCAATTTTTTCATCTGATTGCAAAATCCTCCTAATGAATTCCCCATCACCACTTCCACCAGGCATCCATTCTCTTCTGCCAGAGTGTGAGTCCTAAAATGCATGTGAGCTCTTAGCATCCTCTGCACAAACACCTCTGCTCTCTGGCTACCCAACATGTTTGCCCTCCTTTCCAAGTCACTCAAGTCCCACAGGGCAATGCTGCTCTGGAGCCCCTCTCCTGCCCTTTGCCCTCACCCCTCTTACTGGGACTTGTAGGGGCATTCCTGCAGTGTCCTCTGTACACTAAACTCTCATGCCTCTGGGCCTCTACACAGTGTTCATGCCTCTGTCTGGAATTGCT